TACAACACCACTTTGATGGATGTAAGGCATCAGTTAGTGCATGTGCCCTTTGGGTATCGGATTGCAGTGCTGGGATTTGAACCATCGGCAGAGAAATGACCAATGCCCCTTTTTACATTCAATGTGCCCCACATTTGCTAAATGATACGTGACATAGCCATACATCCGAATCCGGGTCATTCACATATTACATGTAGTTACATGTAAGTGGACCGTGGAATCTTATATCACTGTTATGCAATTATATCTATCTGATATTTTCTAACTACCACCAAAGAATTATGAGGGATGTAAATAAAAGTCTTAAACATGACAGTCAAAAGGGCTGAATTTCGTCAGAAAGGTACATTTGAAATGGGACATATTTACAAACAGAACATGAAAGGGTAAAAACATTTAGACCAGTATTTGCAAACGAAAAGTAGAAGACTGTCACGACATGTTTAATAACACTGAATCTGATAACACTAAATTGTGTGGACTTACAATGTTGACATCTGGGCGTTGATATGCGACTGATTCGTATGCAAGCATGGTACTGAGGGCCTCGGTCAGCCACAGGTCGTCCCACCACTCCACTGTGACGGAGTTCCCGAACCACTATAGCATCAATCAACATGTTACACACCGTCCACATGTGGTACCTAACGCTGAAAGCTTACATAAGTCACAGTTCAAAGCTCCTCAGTCATTGGGGTTGCGAACGCTGCGCCTTAGCAATTATCCTTCATGGGATTTCGTCTGACGGAAATGCAACAAATGCCCCATGTTTGAAACTCGGTGTTTGACAACTACCAACACCACAACCATAGGTCATGGGCTCTGTGTATGTCTATGTGCCATTTACATGTGCAACCATATAAAATTACATTGGGCATACATTAACCCAACTGTAGCAAAGTGGTATATTGCCCTAGCTACCAATGTGTAACGTATAGAAGTATTAGAGTTGCATAGTTGATGATATCATGCTATTATATTGATAAATTACTGTAATTTGTACCTTGATCGTAGTTATGCTTTTTTTTATACAATTTGGGTACCATTTGGCCCATTTCACGTTTAATAGTGAAAGAAATACCCTTACTTTATAGTCAAGCTCTCACCATATTATATTACGAGTACAGGTCAGTGTGATATATATATATATATATATATATATATATATATATATATATATATATACTAGGAGTATTACAAAAATACTATGAGACTACCATACACAAGACTATGTGTAGTATGAAACAAAAATGTGCTTTCACAATTGGAGTTATCAGACATCTTTTAAAATACTGTGCTATATATAATATGTCAATGTAATATGTAGTACAGGAATTCTCAACCATTTTATTCACCATATTAGCCTACACATCTCAGTGTATATGGCACATTATTTCCATTTTCTTTCACTGTTTCTTAGTCTACAACCAACAGTAAACATGCTATTAGCACATCATTCACCTCCCCTCCCATTACATTTTAGTCTACACCACACTCAACAGTAAACAATATTAGCATGTTATTCACCTTCCCTTCCACTACCTCTTAGTCTACAGAACACCACACTCAACAGTAAACATAGCACGTTATTCACCTTCCCTTCCACTGCCGGATCTTCTCTGATGGCCACAGCGTGCCCATAACTGCTCAGATCTACCCGTGAGAAGATGTCAGCGGCCATGGCCGGTTGGATCATATCATCCCATTGGAGATCACACTGGAATATAGCATAAACATGTATACATAAGTTTGTAAGACTTCAATGCGAGAATGTCAGACTCTAATTATTGATGATGAATAAGTAACGATTTATTATCAATAAGTAGAATGTCATTTCTGCAAAATCATATAAGTGGCATACATGTAGACTTACATCGGTTTCCAAAGTGCGTCAATGCGAAACTTTCCACTCATAAATGGCTTTAGGAATAGCCCTATTCTTAAATAAGTAAAATAAGTAAGTGGCTAATGGTTTGATAAACAAGACTGGATGACTTTTTTAACACTGAGTCCACATTAAAAATATCTAACACTTTGAGGGCCAAAACATGGTACATAGGCAATAAAGTGAACATTCATCATTTTCTGTTCTTTGAACAGAGGTGAAGCATAATGCTTTCTCAAGTAGCTACTATAAAAGCAATGCGGTTTCGATACAGCGCCTACCTATCCAGGCACACCGGGTCACTCCTACTAGTGTGTTTAAGCTGGTTATTTTTCCCAATACATTTTGTAAACATGTTTTGTACAACAGAACAGCTGACCCCCTCTACTAACAATCTATCTACAACACCACTT